AAAGAATAAACAAATCAGAAGAAATAACTTAATAAATATTTTTAGACCTGAAATGAGACATAAGTCTGTACATCAAAAAGGCTTACTTAATGCTTATTAGAATGAGTGAAAAAAGGTGTACACATAAGGCATAATTGCAACCTTTCAGAACATTATGATAGGATATTATAAATGCTTATGAGGAATGAAAGTAAAAGTTGTAATAGACTTTTTTATCAGCATCATTGGATGCTAAAAGTCAATGGGGTTAAAATGCCAGGGGGAATTATTTTCAACCCTGTGTTCTCTGCCCAGCCAAACTATTAAGTGGGAAGGTAAAATAAAGATACCTTAATACATTTCAAAGATTAAAGTTTTATACTCACACATCCTTAGGCAGTTGGTTGAATATGAGCACCACTAAAACAAGGGAATAAACCAAGAAAGAAAATGTTACGGAATCCAAGTATTGTGGATTTAACCCCAGAATTTAATGAAAGGAAGTTCCAAGGTGACAGCTATAGGACAGGCATAGACTGCGTTAGAAGGATAGAGTTCAAGGAAGGAAGCATCTATGAGAGGGAGATAAGTAAGTGAGGTGTTTCCGTATGTTTGCCTTTATCTTTGAAATGTTGAATGAACTTATACAGGTAGATCTTGCTGGACTAAAAGGTATTCAAGCTATTCAAGAAAGAAAAACACTCCTCTTGATTTTGCATTAAAATAATTTTTCCTTCTATACACCTCTCAAATCAGTTCTTCCTTTTTAACAGTCCTACCACCATCACTCTAATCTGAGTTATCATCATTTTCTTGCCTACATTTCTATCGTAGCCTGTTAACTGCCTGTAGTTTTCTTGCATCCATTCTGTTTCATCTCAAATTCACTCTCCATATTACAATCTGCAGAGTGATGTGTTTCAAAATGTAAATCTGATTATTCCTCCTGTTTGGTTAAAACACTTCAGTGGCTTCCCATGGCTCTTAGAATCAAAATCAGTAGCATCTCCTACAGTGTTCCACACCATCACATGGTCAACCAGTCTAAGTAGCAGTGTGGTGGCAGCTGCTATGTGTTCTTGCTTTACTTCCATAGACTTGTCTGGTAAGGACCCAAGAAACCCAAATGACAGTTTATTACTTACACAGACAACAAAGCAAGATAAGCATGGTATTAGTTGTTTTCATCCCTAATTCCACATGATGACGTCATACTAGAGGGGACAGATGACAGATGCGTGAATGGTGGGTTGCTTTATTTTTAAGCCCTGAACTCTAGGCTACAGCTAAGCAGTTTTATAGCTGTACTTGAAAGGGACAAAGTAGAAAGTCCTATGCCTTACTGCAGTCAGGGAGGCAGATGGGAAATTCTCATGGTAGCCACATGCAAGATAAAGAGCCTCCTACAATGTAAGGAGGTAAGTGAGAAATGGCCTTTGACAGTCTCACAAGACCATGTCACAGGGCATTCTGCCAGTAGTTGAGCCTTACCTTCATGGCTTACATGGAGACATGCAGGTGCCATGGTGCCATGGTGCAGCTGTTCACCTCCAAACATAGGCTGCCTTTACTACCCCTACAGTCTCACCTTAACTCTCTTACTTGCTGAGCATCAGCCACACTGACCTTTCAGTTTCTCCAGTGTGCCATGCTTTATTTTGTGAAAGAGCTTTAGTATACGCTATGTATGCCCTCTGCCTGAAACACTTTCTCCTACCTCCTTGCCAGGTTAACTCCTACTCTTTCTTCAGTCCTCAGCCCAACGTTCCTGACCAGGACCGTTCCCCTGTTACTAGATAGCATAGTGTACCTCTCCAGCTTAGCACTCAGAACAATTTTAATTTTATAATATTTGTAAAATCTTTAATTAATGTAATAGTAGAGGTAATATAGTATTAACATGTTTATCACAGCACTTTTAAAATGTTTTGACATGCTTGATTTTATTTTATCTTTTCATCTCTTTGAGATAAACTGAGCAAGTATCTTTTTTTTTTCAGATAAGATTTTACTCTAGTGTGCCCTGTACTTCTCCACTGTGTTTTTCTTATAAATGCATTAAATATTAGGTAGCATACAGTAAGCAAAAGACACAAAGAAAATGCCATAGGGGCCCAAAGGAGAGAGAAATTACTTCAGATGAGGTGATCATAATAGATCTCCAAGTTAGAGGGCCATTTGAGTTGGCTGGAAAGTTGAGAGACTTCTCTGATAGACAAAGAATTGAGAGTCTTCTAAGAAAAGAGAGTATCAAAAGTGCAGTCATGGGAAGGTATGGGGGCTCGGCACCTGTAGCTCAAGTGGCTAAGGCACCAGCCACATACACCTAAGGTGGCGGGGTCGAATCCAGCCCTGGCCCGCCAAAACAACAATGACGGCTGCAACCAAAAAATAGCCAGGCATTGTGGTGGGCGCCTGTGGTCCCAGCTACTTGGAAGGCTGAGGCAGGAGACTCTCTTAAGCCCAGGAGTTGGAGGTTGCTGTGAACTGTGATGCCACAGTACTCTACCCAGGGGGATAGCTTGAGGCTCTGTCTCAAAAAAAAAAAAAAAAAAAAAAGGAAGGTATGAGACTATTTGAAGAATGGCGATTGAATGTGGTTTGATGGATGTAGGGTTAATATGAGGGTACTAGAAAAGGTTAAATATGGAATTAATTTTTGGTATTTTTGAAATAGTTTTACCCTGTTGCCCCAGGCTAGAGTGCCATGGTGCCATGGCATCAGCCTAGCTCACACCAACCTCGGTCTCCTGGGTTCAAGTGATCTTCCTGCCTCAACCTTCTGAGTAGCTGTGCCTATAGGTGCCCACCAGGACACTCAGCTAACTTTTCTGAGTGGGTTTCACTCTTTCTCAGGCTGATCTTGAACTCCTGAACTTAAGCAATCCTTCTGCCTTGGCCTCCCAGAGTGCTAGGATTACAGGTGCGAGTCACCATACCTGGCCAATATGGAATTAATTTTATTGGCAGTAGGAAGTAATTAAAATTTCTAACTGGGCAAATGACCTGATCAGTTAGGATTAAACTTGAAGAGGATTGAGTAACAATGAATAGAATAAATTGTAGCATGAAGGACTGGATTCAAAGAAACCAGTCAAGATCCAAGTGAGAGGTAATGAGGTCATGACTTGGGCCAAAACTTCTCCACTACTAAGTCATGGCACACCTTGCAAAGTCTTTCAGCCAGAGACCACTAGGAATACACTTGTATTTGAGGAAAGTTAGTTTTATTTAATATGCTGCAGCAAACAGCATAATACCAGCAGAACTATGAGTCATCTCAGGAAATGAAAATTGAGAGGAGCTTATCATAGGATTTCAGCTTGTGCTGGGTGACTTTTGGGAAGTTTTAGAAAAAGCTGAGGTCAGTTCTAGATTTGGGTGCTCTCAAAAAGTATGATAAGTACATTTTATCTTGGAGGTGAGAGGATTCAAAAAATAGTAGTCATCTGTGTTAGCCAGAAGAGGGGGATGTTTCATTATTTTTGTGGTTTTCCTGTGTTCTTGTCACTAATGTCAGAAATAATTACATGGTAAGTCCTATCTCTGTCTTCTTTTACTATGGTCACAGAGTCGCCTTATCTGGGGTATTGTTTACAAAATTGTTTGTTCATTGGAAACCTGTGATTTTAGCTGTCAGCTTCCAGTGGCCAGGGATTTTAAAAATTATTTTATCAGTATCCAATACATGGATCTGCTTAGCCCTTAAAGGGACCAGCCAGTTGGCTCATGCGATAAACAGCTTCATCCATTTACCCCAGGCTGCTACACAGATTTTATCATTGTATGTACCATGACTTGGAAAAGGTTGATTGAATAATATCACTGAAAATAAGTAAAGGACCAAGAAATGATGTAAAGATTTCCAAAGTTCTTCCCCGTCTCCAACATTTCTAGTAGACTTAAACTCTGTGCTTCAGCAAAAATAAGCTGATTTCAGCTCCTACAATCTGTAAGTTTCTGTACCTGGAATGTCTTCTCTAGGCTTATTCTCATGCAGATTCTGTCTGTTCTTCAAGGATCAGTTCAAACATCTCTTCCATGTTACTAGTGAGAGCTAAGATCACGAAAAAGCCTATTTAGTAATAATAACAAATGGAAGATTCCAGTTCCAAAATGGTGATATATACTTCAATAATATCTGGAGACTTGACACCCCACTTTCAGCATTGGACAGATCAGACAGAAAATCAACAAGGAAACATTGGACTTAGTCTACACTGTAGACCAAATGGCCCTAGTAGATATTTACAGAATATTTAATCCAATAGCTAAAGTACTGCTTTTTCTGTAACTCACAGGTTTTAGTATATTGTGTTTCCATTTTCACTTGATTGAAGAAACTTTTAAATTTTCTTCTCAGACCTACTGGTCATTCAAGAGCATATGTTTAATTTCCATGTATATGTATAATTTCCAAAGTTTCTCTTATTACTGATTTCTTGTTTTATTCCATGTGATCACAGAAAATAATGGATTGATTCAAATGCTTTTGAATTTTTTTAAACTTGTTTTGTGGCCTAAAATATGGCCTATCATGGATGATGATCAAGGTGCTGAAGAAAAAAATATATATTCTTCAGAAAACTTGTAGGTGGCTAAATGTTCCTTGTGAAAAGCTGGAGATGGGACTGATAGTGGGATAGGGACTAACTTACCAGAAATATCTTTTAAAAATTACATGGGTAGAATCAGACATGCTGTAGTGTGCCTGCAATCCCAGCTACTCTAAAGGGTGAGGCAGGAAGATTGCTTGAGCCCAGGAGTTTGAGGCTGTAGTGTGTGATGATTGCATCTGTGAATAGCCACTATACTGCAACTGAGGCAACATAGCAAAATCTTGCCTCAAAAAAAATAATAATAATAGAAAAATATATTGGTTAACATTTGAGAAAGTCTGAAAATTATACTCTTTTTTGTATTGTCTGAAAGAACAGAAACTGGATAAAAATTAATTATATTAAATTCACAATAATATATGTCATAACAAACAGGATTGTTTTTCTGATATATTAATTTAGGAATGACTCCTTGCAAGAAACCTGGGAACCGAGACTGCAATCATCATTGTAAAAATAAACATACATGTGGACATGACTGCTGTGAGTTCCATAAAACAAGTCTATTTCAGGTGTTACAAATTGAAAGGTCTTTCAATTCATGAATAATGTGACATCTGAATTATCTATGTATGAGATTTTTATCATGAAACTAACAACTCTCAAATAATTTTCTTTTGTGGGCAACATAAAAAAATAAATACTAGATTTGACATTTTAAAGAAATTTGGCTTTTTATGAACAATACCTGAAGTTTAACCTAAAGGATTTAAAAATTTTTTTATAGGTAAGATTGGAGTTGCTCAGAAGTCAGAAATTAAAGTGCCAACAATTTCTTCATATTTATCTGACTTAAGAAACAGAAATGCTGTTTCAGCTCTTCCTCCAGTTAAACGTCTGAAGGTTAGTTTTAGTACCATTTGTCCCTTGTTCTGTAATTGTATATATGTAAATATTCTTTGTTCTAAAGTATCCACAGTGTATGTAAATCTACTTTGGGAATATAGTTATACACCTCCTATTTTTTTTTTTTTTTACCCAGACCTATTATTACCCTGTCCTGGCTTCATCTCTGCTAGACTCAGCTGGAAAATCTGACGTTTATTTTGATTCTTGCCCCTAGATGAGTACTGACCAAGAGACTTCCTTCCAAATGATGAGGGAATAAGAGTGCCTACTTGTTGATGAATAGTCACTGACAGACTTATCTTAAGCCTAAGTCATCATACTTAGAATAGCCCTTTTCTAGGGCTTTCATAAGAATAAAGATTCTAAGTTATGGGCCCAAAACAAAGGAAATGTTGGGAAACAGAAAGAGCTGTGAGGTTTGAAGTGGTCACCACTTTCTGTGATTTTTTAGTAGCATAGATTTTCTCTTTCTCATTCCTATCTTTCCTTCCTTCCTTCCTTCTTCCTCCATCTCTCCCTCCCTCCTTCCTTCCTTTTCAGCTACCATATTCTTCCCTCTTTCATTCCATATTCATTGAGCACCAAGAATATGCTAGGGTTCTAAAATACAGTGATGAATAAAACAGTTTTACTCCCAGTCCTCATAAAATTTATAGTTGAGTGAAAGATACAACGAAGGAAATAGATCTTTTCAATATAATGTGATGAATGATTCTGTGCAAGAAGTATAAGATACTTGAGTTTAGATAAAAAATATACTCAATCCACATTTGATGGGCCAAGAAAAGATTCCTGGTAAATGTGATTGAGACCTGAAGTGTAAGCCAATATACTATATGGAAGGGCAGGCACAGGATGATGATGGGGAGAGATAGAAAAATATTCCAGACATAGAGATTATGCAAAAAGGTCCAGAGGTGATGCAAAGAGAGAGGGGGGAAAGAGGGAGAGAGAGGGAAGGAAAGGAAGAAGGTGGGGAGAGACAGGAAGAAAGATCGTTAAAGGAACAGAAATGTCTAGCATTCATTTACAAGTAGAGGAGTAAAGAGAGATGAAGTTGAAGAGGTAAGTAGGAGCTGCATCAGGCATACCTTTTTGCTGTCTTAAGGATTTACACTTTATCCTGAAAGTATTGGGAAGCCACTGAAGGGCTTTAATCAGTGACATGATTAGAATTGCATTTTTTAAAGTTCATTCTGGCTCCAGTGTAGAGAAGGGATTAGAGGATGATAAAATAGAACACAGGGACTCATTAGGTGGTTTTTGCAGGAATCCAAGCTGAATGATGGCCTAGTTTAGGGTACGGGCAATAGCAATGGAGAGAAGTTACTGGGTTTAAAATATTTTTCAGAGGTAGAATCAACTACTTTGGTACTTTATTGATTATGAGAAGGGAGGTTGAGGGGTAGTCAGAAATGATGCCCAGTTTTCTGGGCAACTGAGAGAAAAGTGGGGCTTTGGTAGGGTAAGAACTCTGAAGGAAAAGCACGTTTGGAGAAGTAGAGACAGGATTAAGTTCAATTTTGTAAATACAGAATTTAGAGGTTAGCAAGATATCTGGATAAAGGTGTCCTATCAATAGTTGGATGTAATTGTTTAAAAATCAAGAGAGTGATCTGAGCTAGAAGTATAGCATCAAGAGTCTTTCACACACAGATAATAATTGAAGCCATGGAGTAGATGAGAAGAGAAAGAAGGCCAAGTAAAGAACCATAAAGAATGCCAACATTTAAGAAGGGCCTGAGAAAAATATTTCAGTTGAGTTTCTCCTAATTCACTGATTTTTGGACTTTATGTACCAGTAGGAATTATTGTTTGGCTTATTTGTTAAAGGATCTTGACATGAAATTGATAGTTGAACTTATTTTTTTTTTCATTAATAGATGCAGATGAATAAATCTCAAAGTGTGGACCTTCAAGAGTTTGGTTTTATTCCAAAACCTTCCCTTCCAAGTACATCAAGGTACAAATATAATGTTAATACCTAAAGTAAAATATTCATTATAGTCTTTTTGTTCCTCCAAATAATTACTTATTCAAGGAAAAATGGTCACTGGATACCCTCAAATCACAGTAATCATTTAGTTCCATAATGAAGCAACGACATTATAAAAGTTTCATTATCTTTGATACCCTAAGCTTATTTAAAACTCCATAGGTATAGAATAATTTAACATTCATTAAATCATCTTTTTCCTAGGAAGTTACTTATATGTCATTCTATCAGGTTCTGTCTTTATAGGAATGCAAACTAAGTGACAAGAGTATACTTTGACAAGGGAAATCACATTGGTAATACAAAGTCTAATCCTTCCTATGAGGGGCTCAGTCCATGTTATTAATGCCTCAGATTTATAATTTAAAAATTGGTCAGGTGTGACTCAAGGAACTAAAAGTAGAGCTACCGTTTGATCCTGTAATTCCTCTACTAGGTATATACCCAAGTGATCAAAAATTATTTTACAACAAAGACATTTGCACCAGAATGTTTATTGCAGCCCAATTCATAATAGCCAAGACATGGAAACAGCCCAAGTGCCCATTCACCCATGAATGGATTAACAAATTATGGTATATGTACACCATGGAATACTATGCAGCGATAAAAAAGACAGAGACTTCTTATCTTTTATTTTTACCTGGATGGAGCTGGAACATATTCTTCTTAGTAAAGTATCCCAAGAATGGAAAAAAAAGTATCCAATGTACTCAATACTACTGTGAAATAAATATATAACCACCTACACAATCATACGAATGACAAAACACAACTATAGTCCATAAAGTAGAAGGGAAGAGGAGAGAGAGGAATGGGGAGAGGGAATATGGGAGAAGTGAGGGCATTCAGGGGGACCTCACCTAATGTGCATGATGCAATGGTACATTTCAAAACTATTAAGAAATGAGTATAATTGTGATGGATGTGTTACTTGGTTCAATGTAAACATTTCACATTGTATATCGAAGCAGTACCCTGAACCTCATAAATGTATCAATGTACAAAGTTATGATTTAATAAAAAATAATTATTTTAAAAAATTGGCCAGGTGTGATGGCTCACACCTCTAATTCTAGTATTCTGGATAGCTAAGGTCTAAGGATCACTTGAACTCAGGAATTTGAGACCAGTCTAAGCAACAGCAAGACTGCATCTCTACTAAAAACAGGAAAATTAGCCAGAGTATGGTGGCAGGCGCCTATAGTCCTAACTACTCAGGAGGGTGAGGCAGCAGGATCGCTTACTGCCAGGAGTTTGAGGTTGCTGTGAGCTAGGCTGACCACCATAGCACTTTAGCCTGGGCAATGGAATGAGTCTCTGACTCAAAAAAGAAAAAAAGGAAGAGGGAAAAAAAAGTGTATATATAAAATTTAAAAATTGTACTTCTATGCACTATCTTTTTGGACTTTTAATAACAACCTAGCTAATAAAATGAGACATTTTTATCCTGTTTTGTAGGTGAAAAAACTGAAGCTAGTTATATTCCTAGTTAGCAAGCAGAAGACCTTAGATGGTAACTCAGTGTTTTTTTCTTATATCATGTTGCCTTGAAGACAATTGTATATTTAATTTCCCTTCCAGAGAAGGACATTCTGTATGCACATATGACATTCAATATATTTGACAGCTAGTACAGAACAGGATCTGACCAATGAATTAGATGTCAGCACTGCTTCTAGAGATCCCAGCTTTTGATAACTAATTGAAATTAGCATTAGTAATAGATTTTTTTTTTTTGAGACACAGTCTCACTTTGTCACCCTTGGTAGAGAGCTGTGACATCATAGCTCACAGCAACCTCAAACTCCTAGGCTTAAGCAATTTTCTTTCTTTGTTTTTTTTTTTTTGAAACAGGAGCCTCAAGCTGTCCCTCTGGGTAGAGGGCCATGGCATCACAGCAACCTCCAACTCCTAGGCTCAAGCGAGTCTCCTGCCTCAGCCTCCCAAGTAGCTGGGATCACAGGTGCCCGCCACAATGCCTGGCTATTTTTTGGTTGCAGCCATCATTGTTGTTTGGCAGGCCTGGGCTGGATTTGAACCCACCACCTTAGGTGTATGTGGCTGGCGCCTTAGCCACTTGAGCCACAGGTGCTGAGCCAGCTTAAGCAATTTTCTTGCCTCAGCCTCTCAAGTAGCTGGGACTACAGGCACCGGCCACAATGCCCAGCTATATTTAGAGGTGAAGTCTGGCTTTGGCTCAGGCTAGTCTCAGTGAGCTCAGGCAATCCACCTGCCTCAACCTCCCAAGTGCTGGGAAGCAGTAGATTTTTTAAGGCTGTTTACAGATAGCAGATATCTATTGAAGGCATGTGAAGATGACTAAGTATTGGTCACTCCCATTAAATATCTGTTTTTACCTTTTGCAACCCAGGCTGGTTAGAATTTATCATAGAATTATTGAATGGATAAAACACTTTTTTCCGTTTATGTGAATAAGTAGTTTTATCAAGGCCAGATTAATTTTAATATTTTCTTTAATATTTTTGTGGGGTTTTTTCTTTACAAAGGTCAGAACATTTAAATATACCTGAGTTGCCTATAATGAACCAGTGGGATCAGCATAAAATCCGTGGAAAAGTTCAACAAGAACTATCTGAATATGAAAACAAAGGTAAATTACCATTGATACTGATTTGAGTGAAAATGTGGTTTATCATTACTTTGAATTGGCAAGTAATGTTATTGAAAAACAAGATCTGAAATCATTATAATTATTAACTTTACAACATTTTTCTCTTGGGTTATTAAACCAATTTCAAATTCTTGGGTCTGTTATTTTAGATGATCTCACAATGTCTGTCATAGATTGTTTTAAAAAAATCTTATTTCTGGGAGGTGCCTGTGGCTCAGTGAGTAGGCTACTGGCCCCATATACTGAGGGTAGAGGGTTCAAACCCAGCCCCGGCCAAACTGCAACAAAAAATAGCTGGGCATTGTGGCAGACACCTGTAGTCTCAGCTACTTGGGAGGCTGAGGCAGAAGAATCGCCTAAGCCCAGAAGTTGGAGGTTGCTGTGAGCTGTGACTCCACTGCACTCTACCAAGGGTGAAAAAGGGAGACTTTGTCTCTACCAAAAAAAAAAATCTTATTTCTTACATAGTGTTGATTATTTTAATTTAAAGGTAATGAAGAAAAACTGAGAAAATAAGGGATCCTTGGGTTTTACTTTAATATATCTTTACAATTATTTAAGATAGTTTTACTTTTATAAAATTAGTCTATTTTTACAAAACAGCTATGTGACTTTGGGCAAATTATTTAACCTCTTTAGGTCTTAGTCTTATCTTTAAAATGAAGGTATTAAATTGATTGAATTGGGTGACCTTTAGTATTTCTCTAGTTCTTAAACCTATGGTTCTTACAATTTCTATGACAATATGAGAATATAACACAGGTTGTGAGATATAGCTGCTATGTAATCTAGATAAACTTTTTTTATCTGTGTCTACCATTAACTTAATGAGATAATGTATGTAAATTAAATACTGTGCCTGGTTTATCATTATTCCGGTTCCTGCCAGTATTATTTCCCTGGATCACAATATTTCTAGCCAGTCTGTTAAAATAATCCTGGCCATTGAGTTGTTTTTCAAATGGTTGTATGTAGAAATGGTAAGCTAGGGGTTTTCTGAAAATAATTTAATATGTTTGGCACTGACTTCTGTTGCCACTCTTTTCTTCATACTGTCACTTTATGCTTCCTTTAGTCATAATCTAAGATCTTAAGGAGGCAAAAGGCTGAAGTATCTACCACCTCTTAGGATACCCAATATGAGATGAAGAAAAGTTCCCTAATTCTACTTGGAGAATCATAATGTTTATTTAACTCGTTAAAAGCCTGAATATCTTCATGAAGAGGATAGGAGTAAAACAGTCAACCCTCTTATTGTTATCTCCCATCAGCTTGTAGCCCTATAACTTATTCCCTCTTTATACTACTTCTCTATTCCCCATCCTCCTCGACATCAGACCTTTTTTTTTTTTTACTTTTGTGCTGTATTTATATAGTTTTCCTACTTTAATTTCTTTTCCACCCACTATTCCAAATCCAATTTATATTATGATAGTAAAGTCCCACTTAGATACTTTAACCCCCAGGAATAACTACATCCTTGTTTTCCTGAGTAGACAATTATTTTAAAGGAGCCATATAGTACAACAACTAAGTTGACAGGAGCTGGAACAAACTGTCTAGATCCAAGTCTTAGCTATGCCATGTACTGTAACCCTTCACAGTATACTAAACCACATTGTCTAAATTCTCTCATCTAGTTTTGTTTTAAGGATTTTAGGATTAAATGAGATAATGTATGCAAAACTCTCAACACAATATCTGGTACTGTTAGCAGTAGTAATTAGGTATATTTATAATACTTTTCACTTACTAGTCTTTGGTGGCAAAACATACTTTAAATATATTCAAATACTACTTTTGAGAATGTTTTAAGAAAAACATGGCAATTTTATCATCTGTATTCCAATTTAAAAAAGGGAAGAAGAAAAAATGTCCAAAATTTTATAAGAAAGTGTATTGAATCATAAAATTTAAAGTGAATAGGGACCTTTGTACAATTTCTCATTTTATAGTGAAAGAAGCGAAGATTCCAAGAGATTAAATGACTCACCCCCAAAACATATATCTAATTAATGGCTGGGCCAGAAATAGATTCTATATATCTTGATTCCCAGTCTAATTCCTCCTTTTCCTCCTTCTTCTCCTTCTTCTCCCATCTCCTCCCTTCTTCCTGTTCTGTTGTTGTTATTATTGTTTTTGCTTCTTTATTCTTCTCACTTTAAAAACTTTTCTGAGACAATATCACCCAAGTTCATGTGTTAAATCACTACTAAATCTCTCCATCCATCTATATAATCACCTTCTTGGACATATGCCCCAAAATTTAACTTGTCAGCCTTTGAACTCTGTCATCTTTATATATCACTTTGTTCCTTCTCTAAGTGAGCTTTTCCCTTAGCTCAGTGAATAAACTCTCTTCTGAGGTTCTAAAGGCAGAAAAAGAGTCATCCTAAATATCTGAACCACCAAATCTTAATTATTTTGCCTCCTACAGTTCTCTCATATTTGTTATTTCCGCTCTATCATGTTTACGATACTCAGTAACTTTCTTTTCTCTCTGCTTCCTGTCTCATTATCCTTAGATCTGTAACTATTTAAAATGATCTAACAGGCATATCTGGTCATGTAAATCTTCTGCTGAGATATCTTCAATAGTTACCTTCTGCCTGCAAGAAAACAAAAATCTCCTTAATATGGCAAACAAGGTTCACCGTGATCTGGCACTTAAGTACCTGTGCAGTGCCAGTGGGCCCTGTCTTCTCCTACTTTGTGTTCCAGAAATCCTGAGAACTATGCTTTCCCTACCTCTGATCTCTCAGGCTGCTGTGTCTTTTACATGGTATTCTCCCTTATAGTATCGCTCGCCTTTCTTTCTTGCCCTGCTGCACAACCACAAGCTCAAATTCCTACTACTGTTCCTTCATGTGTTATCACCCTAAAAGAGTCTGTCCCATGCCCATTACAGATTTAGTTCCTTTTTCCTCTGTGTTTCCATTGCACTCCTCACCTACTTCCCTTTTTGGTACATACCATATTGTGTGTGTATTTGTGAGAGAGTGTGTATGTATCAACATACAAAAGTAGAATGATGTAGTAGGAGGTATAGTTGAAGGATAAAGTAGGATTTAGATAGGTGAAGAAGAGGATAGAGGACATTTAAAGTGGAAGAAACTTAGTAGTGTGCTGGAGCAAGCTTCTGTTGGCTTATGAGAGATGATCATTAAATTTTTAGGAATTTTTCAGCCATTATCAAAAATTTAATTTTATAAACTTTAAATAAATTATGTTAAAAACAAAGGCAAAAATATTCAACACTTATCACTTCCTAATTATTCTATCACATTTTACTGTTATCTGTGTTCTTGAGTTTATTTATCTATATGGTGGAAATACTGTATAATGGGATACTACTGTGCATTTCTTCCCAACTTCTTATTAAGTGATGTCACATTAGTAGCTTGAAATCAGTTATGATGGAAGTATTTATGCTATGGGAATCAGCAAACACTACCAATCAGGATTTGATTTATTGTTTCGGTAATTGTTTAGATTTAAGAAAGTGATGGATAAATGTTGATAGTGTTTATTAAACTTAACAATGTGTTGTTCCTATATCCATTACATTGTAAATAACAAAAACTTGATGGAATATTCTTCTAGTATTAATTTATTTTTAATTAATTATTTTTTATTAAATCATAACTTTGTACATTGATGCATTTATGGGGTTCAGGGTACTGCTTCAATATACAATGTGAAATGTTTACATTAAACTAACACATCCATCACAATTATACTCATTTCTTACTAAAAACTATTAAATTTAGCAAAGATGCTTAAGTCTTGAATGATGAATGAATGAAGTCCCAGCATATATCTTTATTGTTTTACTTTCATCTTACTTGTTAAAGTCAACAAAAAATATCAAACAGCATTCGTGTGAGAACTACATTCATCAGTTGGAACCATAGGTTGACTACAGATAGAAGAGTAGCAAAACTCCACGAAAATGTTTAGTGAGAATTAATTAGACATATGAAATTTACATTTAAACATGCTGTGTATTTCATTGTTATTTATAAATGATGTGCTACACATCTTTTACATTGGTAAAATTTATGATAAACTTATGTATGTGTACATATGCATACATTCTTGGAGAGGCAGTTATTAAACAGTTATTAGTATGCTACTATACAGAACTGTACAGGTAAAGATATTTAGGCCCCATAACATCTTTTAAGGTTGATACTATTATTATCCCCAGTTAGCGCAGTCTGGCAATTTGAACATTTTGTCTAAGGTCATATAACTAATAAATTAGAGGAAATTTTCACCCCGGTAATCTGGCTCTAAACCCAGAGCCCACCATTTCACTATAAATGGTGAGTAACACTGAGGATTTTTTTAGCAGGAAAAAATAGATATGTATTTTGGACAAATATATTTTATAATAATACAAAAATTAACTTTCAGGGAGAAGACCTAGAGGAAGAAGATCATTTTAAAAGTTTATTGTAATACAGTCATAGAGTTGAGTTATTTTTATATAAGAATTAAGAGGAAAAATTAATAATGTCTAAAAAATTTATTGAAAATTAAATTTAGTGCAACTATCAGTATATGTAATACATTTAATAGAACTGATTGAATACAATATTCAACAATGCTTAACACAATGCTTTCGAAAATTATTTCTCCAAAAACAAAAGAAAATTATTTCTCAAGAGCTGTGTTTAGTAGTTGAAAGGTATGTTTGATATATCAGTAGATTATGATGCTTGTGGTTAAAAAAGTACCTGTACTCTTTTATACATACACATAACAGATTTTTCTAGATGGAACTATTCTACAACTTCAAATGAGAAAACCCTTCATGAAGCTTCAACAATGTTACTCAATGAAAATCTTAATGTATCTGGAAACCAAAACTTGACAGATACAGTTAAAAGCAACTCTCCAGTTTCAGAAATTTTGAATGTGAACTTTGAATTAGAAAATGAAGTTTGGGATGATTTTGATGATGAAAGCTTAATAGAAGTTTCTAGCTTTTCACCTGATACTGAAAAGACAAAAACATCAGGTAAAATTATATTTTAGTATGAACTAATTTTATTAGAAATTCCTATAATATTTTTCATTTCAGCTCCTTCGACTAAGTTTCTTCGCCTTTTCTCTTTCTCTCTGTCTCTGTGTATGTGCGTATATGTGTAAGAAAGAGAGAGAGAAGAAAGCTTGCTTAATTAGACTTGGTTTGTTACAATTATAATCTTTAGCAAAATGGAAAGTGTGATCCTTCTACAAAGATCATTTTTTCCCCGCTCAGGACAGAAGTCAGGTTATTCCATGATAATGATATAGCAAGTGAGCTTTCTCTATTCTATTAGTCCTCTCTTGTAAATTTGAATTTACAAATTCAATGTGAGAAAACTGAATTTTCTCACATAAACCAGGATGTTTAGAATGCCCCCATTCTAAGATCATACCTGGTCTGCTAATATTTGTGAAGGATAAAAGTTTTTATGTTTAAATGTATTCTTCTGATGCAAAGAAAATAAAATCACTTATTTCTAGTCAAAATATTGACTTGTTAGGTATAACTAAATAAATAAGAAAGGATTTATTTCCCCTATATTGGATATTGAATTTAAATCATATTCAACCCCAAAATAACAGGACTTAGTTCTTTGAGTTAAAGGCAAATTCATTCTATTTCACTAAAACTAAGAAATGAGGTTTATGATAAGACAGCAAATGGAGATACTCTCTCCCATGAGGTCATGGAAGGAAGTCAGTCCATCAGTCTTCTCAATACACTCTTATTCCTTACAATTATAGTTGCCTCTTACCATACCATCTCATGCTCTTTAAAACAAAACAAAACAAAACAAATTTCTAAGGGAATAGTTACAAATTGAAATATTATTAGAGGGCTCTAAAAATTACCTAAACAGCTAATATTGCTAGCAAAAACAGGATTTCACCAACTTCGCAATATAGGTCAGGAAAATCTCCATCATACAGTGTCATTAGCACAGTTTTCCATGTCACTAGATAGCTACCAATCCCTACTGCAAGCTTAAATGTCATCGTGCACTGCAATTTAATAGGCAATGTGTAGGCTTATCACATAAGAGCATAGCTTTGTCTCTGGCAAAATCAGTCTCAGTAAATGCCATTTCCCATATGTAGAGCACCTTAAATGATTACTGTGCAGACAATTGAAAACATTGAATAAACTTTGACTTGATCATTTACATGCATTAAAATATAAATATAGAGGGCAGTGCCTGTGGCTCAAAGGAGTAGGCCAGTCCCATATGCCAGAGGTGGTGGGTTCAAACCCAGCCCTGGCAAAAAACTGCATAAAAAACAAAACAAACAAACAAAAAATATATATATATATATATATATTTATATAAATATAGAAATAATGGTGGTAAGTGGAAAAACACAAACTTTTTCCTCTGCTTTCACACCACAATCAAGGCAGAAGACTTCTGTGACCAAATGCAATCATTTCTGCAGTGGACCCACCAGCTGGGTTCTTCTAACCCAGTTCAATTCTGACACCATATGCCTGGAGAAAGAAACAGGAGTCAAAGACCAAATATATACATATTTTACAAAACCACAGGTGGTTTAAGGGACTTTTAACATAGTGACTAATAACCGATTCTTAATGTATTATATAGTTTTACTCCTTTAGCCTTGTGCTCTTGTTTTTCTGTGTAAATTAAATTCAATACAGTGACACACACTTGTAGTCTAAGCTACTCAGGAGGCTGAGGGGGTAGGATTGCTTGAGCCCTGGAGTTCAAGGCCAGCATGGGCAGCATAGCAAGACCTCATCTCTAAAATAAATAAAAATTTTTTAAAAAATAAGATAAAAAAGTTAAATTTGATGATTAAGAAGGATTATTCACTTATTCTTTAACCAGATCTTATCTTTTCGAGAGCCCTTGTAGAGCTTGTGAAACTATTCATTCAACTGTGGCATTTTATTCCATAATATTATCTCTTTATATAGGATTTCAGGACACTTTGGGTTCAACTACCAGGGAAAATAAGCTACCCCTCCAAGAATCAAAGAGCAACTTCCAAAGAGAAATGTTAAACAGGCAAGTTTAAGAACTTTAATTTGTAATATGTACAATTTTATATCCCCTTGACACATAATTGGGGATGGAGGGGTTTGAGTCATTAGATTTCAGAAAGGCTATAAATGTTAACCAACCTAAACTCTCTTAATTTTAGAACTTTGTTTCTTAAAGTGCTGTTGTCACAACACCTAAGGGTGCATATTAAATATGCACTTCTCTGAGCCCACATTACTAAATCTTTTTTTCAGGTTAATATAAGGATACAGATGATTAGGTTACAATGCTTGTATTTGTTAGATGTATGAATCTTTATCTCAGGGCTGGGAGCTCAGGAATCTTAAATTTTACATTACTTGAAAACGAAGAGTAGTTTAACAAATAGAAAAGAAGTAGTCATTTCAGGTATAAAGAAGCAACTGTAAAGGGATAAGGTTTGAAAAGGCCTTCCGTGCTCAATGATCAGTAGAGTGTAGTATATATGATTACACCAATAAGGCTGAGATTGCTAAGATCTGATTGTAAGGGCTTTGAATGCTACGTGTAGACATCGGTATCCAGTGAGTCAGTCAGGAGTCACAAACCCAATGGCTTCAGGATTTGGTGGGTTGAGGCCATCTAGGTAGGGTTTCCCATCTAAAGGGAACCACCTCTAGTCCTCTCCAGTTTATTGTTGCAGTGCAGGAAATGTGAGTCTAGTATTGTCAAATATTCTGATTTTTTGAGAAAAGTTAGGAATATGAAATCTTATGTGACATTTCGTAATTTTTAAATTTTGACAACTACTTCAACAATGCATGATACACTCTGCAATATACCCTTCAAATAATAATGATGATGATGATAATTTCTGTAGGCCAAATATAGCCTAGGAACCTCTAGTTTTTGATCTGTTTGGTAAGCATTGAAGAGTCATCCAAAATATTTAGGCACAGGAAAAATAATTTGATTAGAAAATAATCATTCTAGCAGCAATATGTATAGTGAATTGTGGAGAGTGGAACCACCAGAGGCCTGGTGGCCGATATAAAAAGCAGGGTGTGACGAGGCCTAACCTAGGAGAGGGGTGATAGAAACAGAGAAGTAGGTTGGATTTTTAGAACATTTTTGAAATAAAGGAGTTTCACTTGGCAATTGAGAGTATGTGACTGTTGAGGAAGAGGAAAGAATAAATGGCAATGGGGAGATGGAGATGTAATTTAAGGATATAAGAAACATAAGATTTGGAATGGAAAATAACTATTGAAATGTTCAATTTGAAGTATCTTTGCAGAAATAGAAAAAGGATTTGGAAATACTAGACTTGATTAGAAATCAAGGGAGAGAAATTATGGCCAAAGCTAAAAATTTCCAAGCCAAAAACAAAATATTGACAAATTTTTTATTTAGGTTCCAGTTTTTTACTTAAAAATTATGTATTTCTCTGCTTTGGAAAAAGATACTAAATTTGTGATGTCCTTTGGAATTTTTGCTATTATTAGTCATATTACCAAGCATTAGCATCTGCATCACAAAATCATAGATTTTATAAAATTTCAGAGCTAATGGAACTTAATTCACATACTGTTTAGTTTCTCCCACACTGGATCCTTGAATTTTGGGTCATATAGAATAAACAGATATAAGCATCAAAGTAGAACAGATTCATGGGTGTAGAGAAGCAAAAAATAGGTAAATCTAAGTAGGACTTTAAGTAGTTTTTAAAAGGTGTGGTGCACTTAAATGGTTCTGTACACTGTACCTTTAAAAAACTGCAAGTGATTGTGTAAGATTTTAGAATTGACCTATAGAAGGTAAGTGGTTTTAAAAAGGTGTTTTAAAAGGGCTTCTTCTTTTAATAAGAAGCCTCTGACAGCTCGGCGCCTATAGCTCCACCGGCTAAGCCGCCAGCCACGTACACCTAAGGTGGCGGGTTCGAATGCCCAGCCCGGACCCGCCAAACAACAATGACGGCTGCAACCAAAAAATAGCCGGGCGTTGTGGCGGGCGCCTGTGGTCCCAGCTACTTGGGAGGCAGAGGCAGGAGACTCGCTTGAGCCCAGGAGTTGGAGGTTGCTGTGAGCTGTGAAGCCATGGCACTCTACCCAGGGGGACAGCTTGAGGCTCTGTCTCAAAAAAAAAAAAAAAAAAGAAGCCTCTGACAACCTGGTATCAGAAATTACCTCTGGGAAAAGCCTGCGCGACCTGAGAATCTAGGGTAACTTGCCTTTCTTTAATGTCCTTTTTACTATTTATCTTATTTTTTTTACTACATATATGTTTGTTAGTCAAAGACAAAAAGATTCAACCCTATTAGTATATGTGATTCTACTCTACCTCCACTGACTGCCCATGGCTCCTTGCATGGCTTCACATTTTGGCTTTTGTCAGCTTAAATCATCACATCCTCAGAGATGCATTGATGACCATCTTTTTAAAATGAGTTTTTGTTGGTTTTTTTGGCTGGAGCTGGGTTTGAACCTGCCACCTCCAGCATATGGAGACGGTGCCCAACTCCTTTGAGCCATAGGAGCCACCCTTAAAATGAGTTTATTGACTGGCATAGTAGTTCACACCCGTAATCTTTGCACTCTGGGAGGCCAAGGAGGGTGGATCACTTGAGCTCAGGAGTTTGAGACCAGCCTGAGTAAGAGCAAGACCCTATCTCTACTAAAAATAAAAAAAACTAGCTGGGCATCATGACTGGCGCCTATAGTCCCAGCTACTTAAGTAGCTGAAGTGAGAGGATTACCTGAACCTAAGAGTTTGAGGTTTCTGTAAGCTATGGTGATATTACCAGGTTCATTTCCTTCATTTAATTTTAGCATCTATAATTATGTATATAGTTGTTTTTATTCATTGTCTGCTCCTCTACTAGATGGTAACCCCTTAAGGTTTTGTTTTTTTTTAACCACTTTATATACAGCTCCTAGTACAGTGTCTGGCTTAGGGTAGTAAATAATAAATGTGTTTTATTGAGTGAATTAATATAGAACGTTAAGAGTAAATTTTAGTATTCAGTTACACATAAGAAGATAACTAGAGGGCGGCACCCATAGCTCAGTGGATAGGGTGCCGGCCACATACACCAAGACTAGTAGATTCGAACCTTGCCTGGGCCAGCTAAAATAACAATGACAACTGCAACAACAACAAAAAAAAAATAGGTGGGCATTGTGGCAGGCACCTGTAGTCCCAACTACTTGGGAAGCTGAGGCAAGAGAATCACTTAACCCCAAGAGTTTGAGGTTGCTATGAGCTGTGACACCACAGCACTCCGAGGACAACATAGTGAGCCTCTTGTCTCCAAAAAAAAAAAAAAAAAAAAAGATAGCTAGAGATGTCTATCTATAGTCAGAACAGAAAGAATAGAGAAGTAAATTAAAAGTTAAGCAAATATGGCTCAGCACCTGTGGCTCAAGTGGCTAAGGCGCCAGCCACATACACCTAAGGTTGCGGGTTCGAATCCAGCCTGGACCCGCCAAACAACAATAATGGCTGCAACCCAAAAAAATAGCTGGTGTTATGGCGGGCGCCTGTGGTCTCAGCTACTTGGGAGGCGGAGGCAGGAGACTCGCCCAGGTGTTGGAGGTTGCTGTGAGCAGTGAAGCCATAGCACTCTACCCAGGGGAACAGCTTGAGGCTGTCTCAAAAAAAAAAAAAAAGTTAAGCAAATAGAATTTAGAAAAGATTTATAGGATTATAGTTAATATATAATTATTTATAAGCCTCAATTATTATTTATTTATGAGACAGAGTCTCACTGTCGCCCTTGGTAGAGTACCATGGTATCAGAACTCACAGCAACCTCAAACTCTTGGGCTCAAGTGATTCTCTTGCCTTAGCGTCCCAAGTAGCTGAGACTACAGGGACCTGTCACAGTGCCCGGCTATTTTTTTTTTAATTTGTTTTTAGAGGGAGGGGTCTTGCTTTTGTTCAGGCTGGTCTTGAACTCCTGAGCTCAAGCAATTCACCAACGTAGGCCTACCCAGAGTGCTAGGATTATAGGCCTGAGCTACCACGCCCAGCCTGGTAAACTTCAATTTTAAAGAAAACTTTTAAATGATTATTTCTGTAGTCCCTTAAAAATAGTATTCTTACCTAATTTGGAATATGTAAATTGTGGCTTGGTCTAAGGGTAAGGAAATATACTGAATTTTTTCCATGAGTATAAGAAACATGATCAATTTTTTTAATGATAAGTATGAGAATTTTTCATTATATTCCTTAAAAAAAATCACTGTGATCCAAATTAGAATGATTTCTCTTGTTTGCCATATTTTACAAGTAATTAATTTTAATTTTTAGTTTTGTTTCATCACATAAGAAGCCAGATACTTACTTACCAAATTCTGCTATGTCCAAGTTCGGTGCCTCCTCCATGACAAAACTACCTCAGCAAGCTGGAAATGGAAATGATGTAAGAAAAAGCACTTCTTTTTTTCTTTTAAATTTTGCTTGAATTCTTAAACTTTCCATGATTAATATTTTTTACCTCAAAACACAGGTCTATTTACAAGAAAGGAAACAACAAAGTCTGTCACCAGAGATTGAGAGGCTATACTTTCCTCACTCTAAGAAAAACCCAAATTGTTCAAATTTTAATGAAGTAGATTTTTTTATTAGCAACAGCGAATGTAAAAAGGAAATCGATTTTAGGTAAGAACTCTTTAAGAACATTTCAAGATTATCCCAATAAAAACTTTTTACAAAGAAATTCAATATTCCTTTTTCCTTGGTCATTTTAAAGATCAGAGCTTAAATTAAACATTTTATATATTAAAGACACTGAAATTTTAGACCCCTGGTAAACTGAGCTGCTTAAGATATTTTATAATACCAGATATTTCTATTTTTGGAAACCTATATGTTTAATGCTATTATTTCAAACGTTATATTGAGTTGATAAACTTACTTTTACTGATTTGAATACAGCATGTTAACCATGAAAAGTGTAAAAGTCATTTGAGAAATCCAAATGAGATAAGCTAATTTTTTAGAAGTTCAAGTTGTATTTTAGCCAGCTAGTTATTTTACAATTCAACAGGTTCAGTGAAAAAGTCAGAGTAAATTTAATCAGTGCCCTTTGGGAAACTCAGGAGCAGTTTCTTCTTCTTAAAGTAGAGATTAGAGACCTGTTTACACCTTCCCTCCCACCCCTACCAAGTGAAGAAGTGGGAGTAGAGAACTAATAAAGAAATCTGTAACTGTTTGTAAACAATTAATTGCAATCTCCCCTATACTCAGACCAGCCTGCTCATACTTTTATTAAAGACATTACCTTTTAATATAAAGAAATAAAGAAACACCTTTACAGTTTAAAGAAGTATCTTTTACAATTTATGAAGTCTAATGTTTTCCCCATAAATTTCCTACAGGGTTGTGTATACTGAAGACCATTTGATACATTAATGTCACAGAAATCTTCAAGTTTATTTGTTAGTACTACTTTATCCATTGTCAATTTTAAAATAAATTGTGTAACAATTTTTTTTTTTTTTTTTTTTTTTGCTTTCCCCGCCCTCAGTAGGTATCATGCTATTGATGAAGCTGGAGAAATGAAATCTCTTCTGGGAATATTTGATGGTATTTTCTAAAACAAATACCCCAAGTACTTCCTACGTTAATAAGACAAAATATAAAGATTCCTAGTCAAAAGCATGCTTTCTATTTTAAAAAAGTAGTTCTAATTTTTTCATATTTTTTCTCTTCTGTTTGATCAGTTTTGTTGACTTTTTTTACAGTAAAAGAGATGGACTTATTTACCTTCCCATTATATGGTACTTCTTGAAAAACACTTTGGGAGTGGGTTTGTTTCAATAAGCTGATAATTAAGTTGTACTTAGAAATAATTACTTGGCTATTAACTGGATTTTGGCAAGAACCAATTTAAAATTTTATTTTTATGTTAACAAGAAGAAAAGCATTCTGTGAAAACAAAATAATGCTAAGTTATCTAGACTGTTAAAGGTAGAGGAGAAGCGCTAAGTTTGTGAATCTTTCTATTGTGTGGATTAGTCACTAATATTGTTTTGTGTAATTTGTTTTACTAAAGATTTTTAAGAATCCGGTAGCTATTTAAAACTATTGTTGTCTAACTCTGAGCAACAATAAAATTAAACATCAATCAATATAGATTATTGTTTTTGTTTGGCTTTTTTTCAATGTTGTGTATTCTAAAACTTTGTTATGTTGACTTTTACCAAACAAAAAGATGTTTTATTATTTCCCAATGAATTATATTTCAAATTTTTATATTGAGTAAGTAGTATATAGGCACCCTACACTATGCTTACTATCTAATTTATTTGTAGATACCCTATGAAGTTGAAGCCCACTTAAGAAATTTTAGAAAAATGATTTTCTCCTTTTTTTCCTGAGACAAGAGTCTTACTTACTCTGTTGCCAAGGCTAGAGTCCCATGCCTCAGCCTAACTCATAGAAACCTCAAACTCCTGGGTTCAAGTAATCCTTCTGCCTCAGCCTTCTGAGTAGTTAGGAAAGGCACCTGCCACAAGGCCCCACTAATTTTTCTATTTTTACCAGAGATGGGGGTCTTGCTCTTGCTCCTACAGGTCTTGTACTTGTGAGCTCAAGCAATCCACTTGCCTCAGCCTCTCAGAGTGCTAGGATGACAGGTGTGAGCCACACAGCACCTGGCCAAAAAAACATTTTTTTTCTTTAAGCATAAAAACCTTAGAGGTCAGGAAGAAGAGAAAATTCTAGATGAAATTATTATTAGTGGTAGTAGTAGTAAACATTTATGAGGCATCATATATATTAAACCTAGAAATAAAGCTTAGAACGAAAAGTTTTGTCTCAGTGTTAAAAAAGAACAACCAGTTCCTTTATTTCAATCCTCTTTATAATTGGTATGTTTCTGCACCCGAATCAATCATGCTACATTTAAAGGTTCTTAAACACCATTAAGATGAAAGATTGGTGTACTACAGTCTGCTGATCTTACATACACGGACTTTGACACTAAAGAAATAGCAATTTAATTCAAAGTGACTTATTGTGATCTGCTCAGTGAAAAATACTGTACTTGGTACTGTAAAGAATGGAAATGCTGGTCTACTCATGGAGCTAGTTTACATTCTGGTAGATAAGTTAAGATATGTAATGATGTAATAATAAAATATAGAATACACTGGAACAGTATCCAGAAACTATTTGCTAAAGAGATTAATAGGGCTAGAAGGGAGCAGTTACAAACCACCAAGACAAAGGGAGAAAGAGCTCAAAGTCATTTCAGAGATTTGGAGGCTACTCCCCCCATCTCAGGCAGAAAACATTAGGCCTTTACAGCAGAAAGGGGTCACTGCCCTGAGTTAAGGGTCTCCTCTCCCAGCATTCTGCAGCAACCCTCCTCAGCTGTTGCAGCTGTTGCTCAAGTGGCCCCAGGAGCATGCAGCTTGACCTATCCATAAGGCACAAACCTTAAATATTGCTGGCACTTCACCTTGGCTCAGACAGGCCCAGATGCAGCTTGTGTTCAAGCTACTGAGGATGTAAATGTAAACCTTGGCAATATTCAGCAGTGTGGCACAAATTCTGCAAGTTTGCAGAATGCAAGAACTGTGGAGGCATAGCTTCCTCCACCTGGAGGCAGTGTGGCAGGGATGGAGCCCCTGCTGAGATCTACATCAAGGGTAATGAGTAGTGGAACTGCAGGAGTGACACTACCTTTAAGACCCTAGAATTATGGAGCTGTCAATAGAGGGCAACAATGAGAAAGCTACAGGCTTGGGACTCCTCCCTGAGGGCAGCCACCTGGGCTCCACCCAGCCAGCATGGGAGCAGGGCTGCCTGAAGCCTGTGTGCATAGGATGCTGACACAGAGTCAAGACAGATTACTCTCTAAGATTTAATGTCTGCCCTGCTGGGTTTCAGACTTGCTTTGGGTCAGTTACTCCCTATTTCTGGCCTATTTCTCTGTTTTGGAATAGGAATGTATACCCTATTCTTTCCCCACCATTGTACAGTATTTTAGAAATAGATTACTTGTTTCGATTTCACAGACTCACAGATGAGACTTTGGATTTTTAAACTGGTGTTGGATTGAGTTAAGACTTTTGGGACTATTGGGATAGAATGATTGTATTTTGCATTGTGAGAAGGATGTGAGTTTTGGGGGGGGGAGGGCAGAATTCTATAGTTTCAATATGGTTGGTGCCCACCAAAACTCATGCTGAGACTTGGTCCCCAATGTAGTTATGTTGGGAGGTGGTGCCTTTAAGAGGTGATTAGATTGTTAACACATTGACTGCCACACTAAAAATATTTTTTTCTATGAGAACACTGTGTTTTATTACAAAAGTAGAATGAAAACTTTGAAAACAAAATTAAAAATTTGTTATTTTTTATTATTTTCTGTTTATGAGTTATATGTACCTCACTCAGAGCTAGAATCAATTTTTATACTGCATGCACTGCATGCCACATAAGTTGTGACTCACAACATACTTACTGGTTTTGTGTTTGAGAATTGAGTCTTTCGTCATTCCACAGGTATTGAGCTGTGCTTGGAATGCACTTGGAGTGGTCCTACATGACCACCTCTGAATTATACCCTGTAAGTATATACAACAGTGTCATCTGGCTGCAAACTATCAGATCGATTTCCATCAGAGAGCCTCCAGGCAAACATTCAAGAGGAAATGGGCAATCAGAAGTCACACTGTCCAGTGTGTGTACTCAGGCAGGCCCCTGGAGCTAGGTGGCAAGAGGTGAGGGAGATGTGCTGATTGACAGCAGAAAGAATGAGCAGAGGTTTTACAGCACACAAACATGTTACGGACCTTTCCACCTATTCACCAGTTCCAGGTTAGTATAGCTTCTGTGGCTACAGCTCAGAGCATCAAATAAGTTTATTTTGCATTCTTTGTTTTCAAGAGAAAATGTCTAGAGAGAAGGAATATAAGGAATTGTTAGAGGAAATGGTGAACAAAGTTTTGCACATGAGTAATAAAGATGTTGAAGTACTTACTGGCGATTCACTAAGCCCTGGTTTCAAAACTAAGGTGAGTTAAATACAATTCACTTGGCAGTTAATGTATTAAGAGGAATCAGTGCCTTTCCAGTGGGAGTGATGTCTTTCCTAGACTGGATTTAGTTACTTTGAGAGCAGGTTTTTATATAAAGTTTTAAAGCAAGATTGCCTCTTATGTTTGGTCTCTAGGCATGCACTTTAATGACACATTAAGAAAAGGAAAATAATACGATATTCATTTATATTATCTGAGTTGCATAAGGATTTGACATATGAACTCTTGACCTTCCACAGTTATGTCATCCATAGAAAAAATTTGATCCTAGACCTCCCTGTCACATGTACTTCTTCTTACTTTCATGCAGATCCTCCAACCCCCTTCTTTTCCTCATCAACACTAGTAGTTGTTGTATAGTCAGAGCACATAAATCCATTTTGTTATTACCTTAAATAAAATGTAAAATCTTGTGCAATTTCTATTATAATACATTCTAAAGCCAAATTAAAATGATTGCTAAATTATTCACTATTTTAAGTTTTAGCACAATTTACTCCTTAGTAGAGCCAAGGAGACCTTCTTTACCATGACCCTATTTCTAGGAAACAATTCTCATCATGAGAGAGGATACTCATGAAAAGTAAGGTCTGAAAGTCTTATCAGGGGAGCCCAAGGAAAACTCCGGCAAAGTTCTCCCCATGGTGACTCAGCTCTTAGGAATTTGTAGAAAATTAAGCTCCTAGAACCTGGAAACTAACACTTGCTTCCACTTCTCTAAATTCCGGCACCCACCTTCTCCAACTCAATTCAAACTGACCAGTCGGAAGGGTACCCATGGTCAAGGAACCCTTGGCTGGAGATAAAAGGGAAAGGACAGAGCCAGTCAGGGAGCCCAGCCGTTTTTGAACTCTAGGCCACAGTGGTTCCACCAGCTGAAATAAAGCCCTTCCTCTTTTAAACACATGTTGGAATGTTTCTCTCTCCAATGAGCCTAAGTATTCCTGTAACAATCAAGCACAGTAGGGAACCATCTTTTGAGGAAACCTACCTAGCCTATGGGTCACATGGATAATATTTACTTACATCACCCTAGGTAACAAAAAGTGACTATATTTAAGAATTTTTATTTTTGCGGGAATAGAGAAGGCACCAGTGAGAAGGGAGTCAGGGCAAGCAAAAATAAGCTAAGCTTAGAATTAAGCTAAGTAAGTAAGCAAGCTAAGGAATGTCAGTCTGGGTTTTAGTTAAATAGTGAAACAAAACAAAAGGGAAAATCCTGACATTTCTTGTCTTTTGTCATTTCAGCTCCTGGATGCCCACTGTTAAAGGCTTTGCTATTCAATCTGAAAAACAGTAATGTGGGAACCTCCTAGGAGCTGGTTAGAAGGTCAGTGTCTCCGGTCTCACCCCAGGTCTTCTGAAACAGAATCTGCATTTTAACAAGATCCCCAGGTGATGTACACAGTAAAGTGCGAGAAACACTTTTTTAAGGTGGAAAGGAATAGAGGCAATATCAGAATTTTTAGGAGAATCTATTGGAGAAGACAAGTATAAGAGTCATGATGATTACTTGGTTTTCTGCACCTATATTTCTTATTTTAAAT